ATTTGTAACACTTGTAGATGAGCTTGATCTTAAGTCAAAGTCAAAACAATGGGTTTCTACAAGGCCATTGAATCAACCACGAACACACTTTGCTGTTTGTACTTACAAACAGTACATATATGTCGCACGTATTAATTTGTTTGTAGTTAACATAATGAATACACATTTTTTATACTTAGGTTGGAGGCTATAATGAATCAAATACAAATCGTTTAAATTCTATCGAATACTATGATACAAATTCAAAAGTATGGACCGAAATTGAACCAATGCCCACTGCTCGATACAGGTGCAGTGCTGTCGTAGTTAGTAATAAATTATATGTTGTAAGTAAACACAATTTAACGATAAATACCATGCTTAACGACTAAATATGTTTATACTTATATTTTATTATTTGTATTACAAAATAATTGTAAAATATTTATTTAACAAGCTATTATAGTTTGTTAGCATTTGAATTAATTTTTATTGTTTTGTGTAGTTTGGTGGATATAATGATAGGTCTCTGGCAATTGTAGAGTACTATGATTTTAAAAAGAAACACTGGAAACAATTAGAAATGCCGATTTGTAATCATACCATGGGTTTGTCAAGAATAGATAACGTCATTTATCTCATTGGTGGTTCACTCGCACTTCGACAAGTTTTTAAATTCGATTTACAACATTTCAAATGGGATCAAATGCCTGACATGAACATGGATTGTAATATATACTGCTCAAGTCTGTATACATTTAATCAAGTATATAAGTCATTATTTTACTCATAATTATTTTTAAATGCAGGTGTTGTTATCATGAAAAACGACTTATTCGTGTTTGTGAATAATAGAGGAAAACTTCATTGTGAAAGATATGACAGACAAAAAAATCAATGGCAATTGGTTAACATGGCAGGAACAGAGTTATCCTTAAAAAGTCATATCATTACTTTCAATGATATTACTCTTAAATCCTATGGTATTCAAATATAGTACTAATTTTTTTTAATAACACCTTTTTTGAATTCAGTTTAGTCGTAAAATTATTTACACATTTTTTTGTTGATGGTTTATTTGTATTTGTTAATACTTTGGGAGAACATCAATGTAAAAGTTATTACACAACGAAAACATCTGGTTGTTAGAACAGAAGAGACATCAAACGGGTTTGTTGTGGTATTCACTTAAATATTACTTTTTATTAATTAAATCCTCTTAGTAAAAGTTAGTCCTAAATTTATAATTTATTTCTTTGGCCATTAATTTCGATTACGAAGTATGTGTTATTTATGAAACGTTAGAGGTTGCAATATGTTGGAACAGGTGGAGGGGAATCCCTTGGTTAGCTTCTGCTGTGTAGTACCTCTAATTTATTATTCAGTTTTAATTATAAATTTACTAGAAGATACAAAGAAAATTATACTTGTGCAATCATGGCCTAAAATTAAATTGTATCCGTCGACAAAAGTCTGAATTACTTGTTGTGTCTTAAATACATTTATTAGAACTAAAAAGATGATAAAGGTAATGTTTTTGTTTATTGTCTATTTGGAAAATATAAATTCGTGTATAAGCTTATAAAAATTAAATTCATGTTAATCTGTGATAGGACAAATGTTTCTAGAATGAAAATTTGAGACAAAAATATGAGAAATATGTTGAGACACTTTTTGTTTGTTAGAAAACGACTTCTTACATACATCACATACATAAGAATGTATTTCGTCGAAATCGTAGTTTTTCGTTGGCATATCAAAAAGATAATTTTTATCAAATTGTAAGACAGATTCAAAACAATTTCCATCCACATTATCTACTTCAACTTTGACTACCATTTCGTTGCTCGTTCGCCTGTCCCTAAAAACAAAAAAATATAAGTTTTAATGATCTTACAAGGAATTAAAAATATCTGCTAAGAGTAAAGTAGCATTTGTAACATGATCAAAAACGAATTTATTAACGATAAAAAAAATGTAACCTTTCCTCATTACAAAGTAAAACTTATATTAAAGATAATCTTACAAGTATACTTTCCAAAAAAATCTTTTAGAGGAGTTTTTTAAGACTATTGCTACTTTAACTATGGTGACCACACATACTCTTTTTCGTAGGATAGTACTCATTTTTGATACATTGTCCTATGCCCTTAACATAGTAGTGTTAAGTACATCAAATTCTACTCTTATTTTTTTTAATTTTAATATTACGGGCTAATACATATTTATGACTATTTACAATTTGATTTTATTATCATTTATATGTTATGGTTCGACCTAATGCATATTAATACAATATGCATATATAATATTTGGCCACTTAAGTATGAACATTATTATTTAAAATAATTAGTTTTTATAGTTGCTAATAGAAATAGAAATAATAGAATAATTTGTTAAAAAAAACAATTTATATACATGGAGATGACATATGGGTAAAATAATATACACTAGAGATTAGTCCGGTCCCGGGCTAACCCAAACCGGACCACAAAAGCCCGGACTGTTTCCCGGGTTAATCCGGTCCAGTCACTAGCTACAGTTTTTTTAATTGATCCGGTTAGGTCCGGGTTAGTCCAGTTAAATTTAAAGGGTGCGGTCCGGTCTAGTCAAAATATGGCAATGGTCTGATCCGGGCTTGACAATTTTTTTTAGTAAAATCAATAATACAAATATATTATTAAGACCAGTCCGGTTTGGTTTTGTCCTAACCCGGTTTCTTAATACATAATGATTAATGGTCAAAGTTAGACTATTTAAAACTATGGATCATGAATAACAGAAATCCTAAAAATATATTAGTAACTCACTCTGTAAGTCTATACGTCTAAATGATTGTACACTAACCATTTGAATTGTTTATAAAATCCATATTAAACCCGTAAACTGTAGATTACTTATTAATTTATTAAGACAAATAACACTATAAAATGATAATATTAAAACAAATTGTTTTATGAATTGTTTTCAAGATAATATGAAATTTTTAAAAATCACAAGGTAGGCTCACAATTTAATAAATATCTCGAGTTGGAATCTCCTATCTGTTAGTCGCACAAGCTATCAAATGCAAGTAATTGAATTACCAATGATGTTTATCACAATGATGTCAATCGGTTCAGTAGTTTAAGTGCAATCGAGTAAAACATGGGAATGAAATTATGACACAATAAAAAACTAATTTCTTAAAAACCAATTTATAGAAAAATATTTTAATGTTTACATAAGAAAAGGATCATGGCATCTACTACACCGGATGGGTGTAAACTAGCGTTTTCATCCCTACGGCTGTTGATGGCGCACCTCAGTTTATAAGTCTGAGTATAAGACCGAGTTCTCAGTTTGTCGTTAGCGGTGAAGATGACAACATTGTTGCCAATATACGCTAAGAGTATATCATTTTTACAGTCGAGGGTTTTTAATATTATTTTATTACTGTAATCTGTAGTTAATTATTAAAATAAATAAAACTGGTGTAAATTGTAATAGATGAAAATGTTAATATCGGTACCTCATCACTGTTTTACCCTACCATCAAAATATAATTCAATTTTTCTCTTAACAATGTGGTAATATTGTGTTTAATTATTGATATTGTATATATATAAATATATATATTATTCTTCCCTTCCGATACGGCGACCCGTGCCGTCTTTGATAAACAATATTGGAATTTACCCAGCCGTCAGTCGCGTCGACGTCATTCTCGGGTTACCGCGAGACCTTTTTAATTGTAATATTGGTCAATTACTTACAATAAAGTTTAACGTGTTTTTTTTTAACAACTGTGTTTAAACATTAACCTAATTTCTCTCTGCCACATTTACCCGCTTGCCTACCGCTCAGACCTACAACAATTATACATTTAAAATATTTATTATTTCTGTTGACCGTAGATTATATTTGTTAAGAAAATAAATTTACTAGTAAGCATATAAAAAATGACAACTCGATATAAATTAATATATCACAATCCTGATTTAGTAAAAAAGGAATTACATTTTTAGCATGGACATGCTTTAGCCTTAGCCCCCCCAGCCCGAAAACGACACTAACTTGCGGTACTTAAGTAGTGCGCCTACTTTAAATATATAATCACATCTTATTTCCATCGAAATAATAACGAGTCGTCGTCGTCATGCAAATAATTGGCCAGAACATATGCTGCTAACTAGCAGTCGTAACAATTGGTGTACAATGTTCTTATGAATTATATAAGCCTAATGAATTGTCTAGATTGGTAACAAGATATCAAAATGTAGAAAGCTTTTAGAGGAACTATAGAACAATTGAACAGTATATCAATAATAAATTATTATTACTAATTGTAATTATTAGAAGTCTCAATTAACAAAATTATTACTTTTGTGGTGTTTTACAATTTATCAATTTTCATTTTAAATGTTTTTTTTTAAGTTCAGCAAGTCAGTTTACATTAAAATAAAGTAGAGAAATCTGTTCCCTAATATAACAGTAAACTAGTGTTTCAAAAATCCTTATTAAACCAGTAAACTCTGTACTTTATTATCAAAATAAATAAAACTGGTGTAAATTGTTATAGATGAAAATGTTAATATCGGTACTTACGTTTACAGAGCTACTTCGAGACGGCACAGCGCTGATCTAGAATGTTATTTGGTAAAAACGCACAGTGAATAATAACTTTTTTAAGAAAACCTCAAGTGACGTTGTCTTATTATAAAGTATATAAATATATTATACTGCGTAACTCATAATAAACGATACACATGCATACAAACAGGACTGCACTATCACAGAATAGTCTACAACATGTGATAACAGCGGGGACTGCGGTACGCGGTGGTCGGCTGGAGGTAGAACGCAGTGAAGGTAAATATTGCAGCGCGCGGGGCTTGAACAAATATACTATCGATATTGACCCTCGGATATCCCTCTCTGCAATCCCTACTATCGATCCATTTTTTTTCATTGTTTATGGCACACACCAGTCACCAGCGGTGTTTTACAAAATCGTCAACAAACGCGGAAACACGTTATAAACCTTTGATGATACTATGTTATTATGCTATTTGTCTCAGTATATTGTAACAATTTAGTAACGGTGTTATAAGTGTCAAACTGTCCAAGGGAAACGTCAAACGGATGAATATTGGAATTTCGAGTCGGTGATAGGTGTACGTTTTGAACAAAATACTGCCGTTCGGATTGGAACTAGTGACGAAGAGTGGTTAACTTCCAAAAGATTGAAATATTCATCGCATAACAATATGATCTCTTCGTCCCGAAAAAATCCCCAAAGAAAAGTCGCCGGGAAAAAACTCGGGTGAGAAATACTTTCAATAATTACACATTTTTATTAATTTATAAGTTGTCATAACTTCACATCACTACATTCCAGACAGAAGTTCTGGTCGAAATATTCTTGAATAATTAAATACAAAATATCTAGTTTTACCTAAATGTAACTGTAAAAGTAACACTGATATTATAAATTACCGTCCGATTTCTGGGTTACCTCTTATTGGTAAGCTTTTTGAACTCCTGGTTCTAAAGAAAATTGAAAGGCAATTTAGATCAATACTATCCGAAGATCAACACGGTTTTATACCTGGTCGATCCACGGTTACTAATATGATCGACTTCTCCACCGATGTTTTAGATGCATTTGAACTGCACCAACAAGTTGATGTTATATATACAGATTTTTCGAAAGCATTCGACATAGTGGAGCATAATACATTAATCCTTATTTTGGGTAAGCTGGGTGTGGGAAATCCATTATTATCATGGATTCAATCATACCTCAGTGACAGATTTCAATTTGTTGATTTACTTAATAATAAATCGGAACACGTTAAAGTAACATCAGGTGTACCTCAAGGTGGACACTTGTCACCGCTTTTATTTAACCTTTTTTATCAATACTATATCGAAGATTATTTCGCCTTGTAGAATACTTTTATTTGCAGATGATGCTAAAATTTTTCATAAAATAAAAACTCCAGATGACTTTATTGTACTGCAAAATTCGATAGATAAACTAGTTGATTGGTGTAAAATGTTTGGACTTTCTTTAAACATTGATAAATGCAGGGTAATGTCATTTTTCAGAACGCATAATAAATTACATTTTGATTACTCAATTTTAAATAAATGTCTGCCTCGAGTATATCAGGTAGAAGATTTAGGATTTACATTAGTGCCTTCTTTATCTTTCAGTACTCATGTTGAGCTCATTACTTGTAAAGCACTACGTATTTTTGGTTTTATTCGTCGAAATGCGTCGAACTTTGACCAAGCTAATTGCCTCATAACGTTATACTCATCATTAGTACGGTCAATTTTAGAATTCGGATCTGTTATATGGTCTCCTTATACCCAGAAAGACATTAAAAAAATTGAAAGGGTTCAAAATCGTTTTTTATCATTCGCTGGTTATGTTTTAAACATTCCTCATCCCCCTCATAATTACACAGCAGTACAGCTGAATTCTTGAATTTATCTAGCCTTGTAGCGAGAAGAAAATTGTTAGACATTCGATTTATTAATAATTTAGTGCATGGTAAGATCGATGCTATCCGTTTACTTAATAGAGTCACATTTCATGTACCTAGGCTTGGGTCCCGTAATTAACAGGTTTTCGAAATCAGCACTCGGAAAACAAACTATTTATGTAATGACCCTATCCAAAGAACCATGAATATAATTAACTCGGACCCCAGTCTCCTAGACTTTTAGTCCTAGTAAAGTATAAATTAAATCTTAGACTCGGCCCACAAAATGTTTTATTTTGTTACTATGTTTATTTTTACTTTCATTTGCATGCGTTTCACTATTTTTAACCGTATACTATTATTAATAATTGTAATTTATATAATTTAATTTTTATCTTTATTATTTACCAACATGTAAGTATTTTCTTGTAAATTGCCGTCAGACGTAAAATAAATAAAATAAATAAATAAAAGTAATTATATTGTGGGTAAAATTAGAAATTAACTTAACTAATGAATAAAAAAAAACATTTTGCGGTTTTTTACTCTTAGAGATAAAGATATCATCAACGGGACTAATGTTAAACACGAATTTGATGAAATGGAAAATCATTGCTACGAATCATTGATACAAGTTGAAGAAACGACATCTGTAGACATGCGAGCAACGAACAACTTGGCAGACGAAAAATGCGAATTGTGTTTAGAATCGTTTACATCCGGAAAGCAATTGAAACATCATATTACAACATCACATCATGATATTTTTAAGATCAATGAAATTCAAATTAAAGACGAAGTCGATACTGGTTTCGAGTAAGTCGATATTAAATCTCAAAATACCATAATAGTCTTTTCCTAACTTGTTTTGAATTTTTACTAAAATTTTATCTACTCTTCGATGGAGCTATGAGGTAGAGAACATAATTGGTTTTTTAACTGTCATACACTAGCCCACATTTTACTCTTTTGTCTTCATCAGTAATAATAATAATTAATCACTAACTTCACATCCAAACATACTTGAAATTTATGTTTAGTGTGTGAATTTAAAATTTAACATCTATATAACATTATTTTATTATCTGAACATTTTAAATAATATATAAATATTGGATAAAAACAAGATTTTACTTAAACATTTTTTTGTATTAACCAAAACTATTACTATGTAAAAAATAAATTATTTTTATAAAATATATAAAAAAATTATAACATATATTGTTTTTTACTCGTAGAGATAACGATATGATCAACGAAACTAACATTGAACAAGAGAATGATAAAATGGAAAAACATTGCTATAAATCTTTGATAAAAATCCAAGAAACTAAGGCTTCGGGCATGCTAGCAACACACAGCTTGGTGGAGGAAATATGTGACTTGTGTCTGCAGTCATTTACATCTCAAAAGCAATTGAAACATCATATAACAAAATCGCACAGTGGCATTCCTATGATTGATGAATGTGCAGTTACAACAGATGTCGAAAACGAATTCAAGTAAGGCACTGTTTAATCTCAAACCCTTTTTTGTAATAAAGTAATAGTTACATATTTAGTATGAAACGACTATGTAAATATACTTTCTTTGAAACTATAGACTTTGCCAACTAATCCTTTTATTTTGGTTTTATGTGTTTCGGTATTGTTAAAAGTCTCTTTTTGCCTGTATATGTTTTATTTATTCAAAATCAATGTTTCTTGAGTTATTCATCGATAAATAGGTGATAAGCGTTTGGTTCAGTTTACATAGGCGACATTTATTATGTCTTCGTTCACAGAGTTAAACAACTTTTTGATGTTAATATTTCAGTTATTTAAAACTTTTTAAAAAATACAATTTTGAGTAGTAGTGTATACGATAGTAATTCAGTAGCAGTGCTATCATCAGCGCTCACAGCGGACTGAATTTATACACCGAATAAATGAAGTAAAAACTATTTTTTTTAGTTTGGTTTTGCTCTGTTAGGAAAACAGGTCTCTTATTTATTTGAATTTTTTTTTTCTTCGGGTTTTTCATTTATTAGTTATTTTACTATGTACATAATTGAACTTATCATCACTTTAATGTTGAATGATTTTTGGCTTTTTGTTCACTCAAAACTTCACAGTATTTGAACCACGTAAAAAGATTTGATGTAATTTTAGTCTCTTATAAAATGGTAGTTTGGCAGCCTCTTATATTAGTTGGCTATGCATTATCATTATTTTATTTGTCAGCAGTTCAGGGATATAATTTGTCCGAATTGGTTTAGAATCATTTCCCATGTATAAACTGTGTTAATTTTGGATTCAGATAATTTATATATTGTATGTTATTTACGATTAAAATAAATGATTATTTTTTGGTATGCAATAAAAAATATTTTATGAAACTGGTTTGGTCTGATCTGGGGTTCTTAAAAAGTTGTTAAATTATGACTGAGTTTTAATAACACAATTTAGGTACAGGATTAGTTGATCTGATTTGGAAAATACAAGTAATATTTTAAGAATAAGACTAGTCCGCATAAATAGCATTGTTTTACAATTGTATTATCCGCTTCCATTTTATTTAGCACTTGAAAGACATCTATGGTCTGATGTCGACTTGTTGTTTGATATCTTTCTAAAGAAATAAATACAATTAAAAACCTTATTTTTTCATATATACTTTTGTGTTTTAGATTTAATGAAACAGAAGACAAGCCAAGAACTAAACTTAATGTAGGTGAGACCGACGACTACTACTACAAGTCTATATTTGAAATAGGAGAAAATAATGAGCAAGTGAAAGAGCAACGAAAAACAATCGACGGAAATGAATACAGGTAATTCTTCTTTAGTAATCAACCCTAAGATTGGTATTACAGCATTATTCCATACTCTCTCCACTCTTCTCTATTATTGGCTAGTCTCTTTAGTTCCGTTTAGGTTCTCAGTCTGGCATTATTAATAATTTTATTGATTATCAATGTTCTATGACGTCCTCTGCCTCTCTTGCCTTCTATTTGTTCAATACTCTGTGGTGGAGTTCCTTCCTCTTTTTTTGATAGATCTTAATAATCCTCTAGATTCACCTATTTCATTAAGTACACTGTCATTAGTACAGAACTCCGTAATGAGCCACACGCTTAATGCTCTTGCCACCCTGGCTGGTTAAACTGCCAAAGTTTTTATAGATCTACTTGTTCTAAAGGGTATTTCGTACTTGAAATTGGAGTCTGTGTTTTTGTTGCGTTTTCTGGCATATCATACCCTAGTCTTCTTCTCAGTTTATCTTTAGGTCGTATTCTTCAAAACACTTCAGCATCCCTCCTAATACAATCTCCATCTCTTACTCGTTTTTGGTTACTAAATCAATGTCGTCTGCGAATCTAAGCATTTGCATAAGTTCTACCCTGACCATCACACCTATTTTTTGTCTATTGAGCTTTTCCTTTATCTCTTGGATTGGTCGTTCGACATACGAGTATATATTAAACAACATTGTTGACATGGGACACTCTTGTCTAAAGTCTTTCCATATTTTTGCAGTTGCCGATTGATCTTCCATTCTTATTTCTGTAGTTAATTTATAACACCTGTATTATATTTATGTTAAATGCTCATACCAGTTATTTTGTTAATAGTATTGTTTGTTCGCTGGTAGTAGCTAGTACATTATCTGTGTTCAAACTCATTGCTCATAGCTACATTTTTAGTTTTAATAAATATATTTTAATTAAATGTTAGTTTCGGAGATACTTGCACTTCTACAAAAGTAAAAGTTGAAGCTAAAAACAGTGGTCTTTTAGATTCGCTAACAAAAAACTCCAAAAATACTTATAGGTAAGGCTAAGTGTTCAATTAAATATATTAAATTATTAATGGTTTCCATTAAACGTACATAAATGTTATATCAACATTCATTCAACAGACAATTAAAATTTACTAACCTAAAATGTTGTATATTCAGTACATTTACTTTATTTCAAATTAGATTTACAATTGTGAAAAAAGATATATATATTATCAAAACGTTGTAATTTATTGTTCGATAATGTTTTGTTTTAGTGACCATCGTACGAGAAATGAAGTGAACAAAAAAACTGACGGTTGTTATTTCGAATCGAGGATTGAAACAGATAACAATAAAAAATCAGCAACAAAGTATAACAATGAAGATATACCCAAACGACGGTTTTTCCAATGTCATTTATGTCAAAAAATATTTGACACCAAAAAACAAATAACTTTACATATATTAAAATCCCACCAAAGTTTAACGGATTTTACTCGTAGAGATAACGATATGATCAACGAAACTAACATTGAACAAGAGAATGATAAAATGGAAAAACATTGCTATAAATCTTTGATAAAAATCCAAGAAACTAAGGCTTTGGGCATGCTAGCAACACACAGCTTGGTGGAGGAAATATGTGACTTGTGTCTGCAGTCATTTACATCTCAAAAGCAATTGAAACATCATATAACAAAATCGCACAGTGGCATTCCTATGATTGATGAATGTGCAGTTACAACAGATGTCGAAAACGAATTCAAGTAAGGCACTGTTTAATCTCAAACCCTTTTTTGTAATAAAGTAATAGTTACATATTTAGTATGAAACGACTATGTAAATATACTTTCTTTGAAACTATAGACTTTGCCAACTAATCCTTTTATTTTGGTTTTATGTGTTTCGGTATTGTTAAAAGTCTCTTTTTGCCTGTATATGTTTTATTTATTCAAAATCAATGTTTCTTGAGTTATTCATCGATAAATAGGTGATAAGCGTTTGGTTCAGTTTACATAGGCGACATTTATTATGTCTTCGCTCACAGAGTTAAACAACTTTTTGATGTATATATTTCAGTTATTTAAAACTTTTAAAAAAATACAATTTTTACACTAACCTAAAATGTTGTATATTCAGTACATTTACTTTATTTCAAATTAGATTTACAATTGTGAAAAAAGATGTATATATTATCAAAACGTTGTAATTTATTGTTCGATAATGTTTTGTTTTAGTGACCATCGTACGAGAAATGAAGTGAACAAAAAAACTGACGGTTGTTATTTCGAATCGAGGATTGAAACAGATAACAATAAAAAATCAGCAACAAAGTATAACAATGAAGATATACCCAAACGACGGTTTTTCCAATGTCATTTATGTCAAAAAATATTTGACACCAAAAAACAAATAACTTTACATATATTAAAATCCCACCAAAGTTTAACGGATTTTACTCGTAGAGATAACGATATGATCAACGAAACTAACATTGAACAAGAGAATGATAAAATGGAAAAACATTGCTATAAATCTTTGATAAAAATCCAAGAAACTAAGGCTTTGGGCATGCTAGCAACACACAGCTTGGTGGAGGAAATATGTGACTTGTGTCTGCAGTCATTTACATCTCAAAAGCAATTGAAACATCATATAACAAAATCGCACAGTGGCATTCCTATGATTGATGAATGTGCAGTTACAACAGATGTCGAAAACGAATTCAAGTAAGGCACTGTTTAATCTCAAACCCTTTTTTGTAATAAAGTAATAGTTACATATTTAGTATGAAACGACTATGTAAATATACTTTCTTTGAAACTATAGACTTTGCCAACTAATCCTTTTATTTTGGTTTTATGTGTTTCGGTATTGTTAAAAGTCTCTTTTTGCCTGTATATGTTTTATTTATTCAAAATCAATGTTTCTTGAGTTATTCATCGATAAATAGGTGATAAGCGTTTGGTTCAGTTTACATAGGCGACATTTATTATGTCTTCGTTCACAGAGTTAAACAACTTTTTGATGTATATATTTCAGTTATTTAAAACTTTTAAAAAAATACAATTTTTACACTAACCTAAAATGTTGTATATTCAGTACATTTACTTTATTTCAAATTAGATTTACAATTGTGAAAAAAGATATATATATTATCAAAACGTTGTAATTTATTGTTCGATAATGTTTTGTTTTAGTGACCATCGTACGAGAAATGAAGTGAACAAAAAAACTGACGGTTGTTATTTCGAATCGAGGATTGAAACAGATAACAATAAAAAATCAGCAACAAAGTATAACAATGAAGATATACCCAAACGACGGTTTTTCCAATGTCATTTATGTCAAAAAATATTTGACACCAAAAAACAAATAACTTTACATATATTAAAATCCCACCAAAGTTTAACGGATTTTACTAACACATACTCGAACATCAGCCGAGCCTATAAATGTGACGTCTGCCTTAAGCCTTTTTCTACAAGTTCTAACCTCACAATACACAAACGCGTGCACACTGGGGAAAAACCTTACAAATGTAATTTGTGCTCCAAGTTATTTACTCAAAAATCTAACCTCACACTACACAAACGAGTGCACACTGGGGAAAAGCTTTTCAAATGTAATTTGTGCTCTAAGTTATTTACTCATAATTTCAGCCTCACACGTCACAAACTAGTGCACTCTGGGGAAAAGCCTTTCAAATGTAATTTGTGCTCCAAGTTATTTACTCAAAAATCCAACCTCGCACTACACAAACGATTGCACTCTGGGGAAAAGTCCTTTAAATGTAACGTGTGCTCAATGACTTTTTCTCAATTACCCAACCTTACACGTCACAAACGAGTGCACTCCGGGGAAAAGCCCTTTAAATGTAACGTGTGCTCAAAAACTTTTTCTCATACTCCCAGCCTCACAATACACAAACGAGTGCACTCCGGGGAAAAGCCCTTTAAATGTAATGTGTGCTCAAAAACTTTTTCTGATAAATCCAACCTCATACGACACCACAAACGCGTGCACACTGGGAAAAAGAATTTAAAATTTATCTAGTGCTCTAAACCATTTACTCAAAAACCTCACCTCACAAAACACAAATAACGTGCACCATCTGTGTAATGTCTGTCAATGATTTATATAAAACCCAACAAAATATTATTCAAATGTTTTATATAAAAGTGATTTATCCCACTTTAATCTGCAGCCTTTTTTTTAGCATTTGACATGTTTTATTTATATTTGTATTATTACTATTGGATGCATTGTTGTGTTAAATGCACTTTTTTAAAAATTTTAATACATATTTTGTTAATTTGGTCAATGTTTATAATTAAAATTGGTATCGTGTTAAAGTGATATTGTCAACATTGTCATATATTTTAAAGCTAAAACTAGTCAAATTTTGATGATTTTAATTAATAAATAACTTGTTAGAGACTCGCGACATTTATTGTCTAGATTTAATTTTAATTTTTAACGTAACATTAAACATAAAATACTGACTGCAAAAGCTTGTAATTTTGGAGAGAAAAAAAATGATTTTACTTAAAAGAGTTATTAAACTTTGTATTTAGCTTTAAATAGAAATTCTGCATTTGCAACTTTTTATGCTAGGACTACAACTGTGTTAAATTTGTAATTTTTTACATTTTAGTTGTACTATCTTAAGAGGGCGCCGCACCGGTGATTTTCAGTGGTAAAAACATGTTTACGCCAATTGAAAATTACTCGCTTAATTTTGGTTTTAGAGTAAAAGCACCCATTATAAAATTAAAAGAAAACAATATTTCGGAGGACAAGACGGTGCGTTTTAAAAAAAAAAAATCATTTGTGAAAAGTTACAGCCATAAAAGTAAGTAGTCGTTATTTCTAAACTATGTATTGAGCTTTATATTTGGAATAATGAAAAAAACGCACCGTCTTGCCCTTGGGAATATTGTTCTCTTTTAATTTTATAATGGGTGATTTTACTCTAACCAAAATTAAGCGAGTAATTTTCATTCTGCTTAAACATGTAGAGATGAAAAAACATTTTTAAATCGCTTTCAAGGATGCTGTGATATTCCAATAAATAAATTAACTACCAAAATAGAGTCCTAGTTATTGAACTAATAATTACACATCACAGTTTAACCTTTAAATTAAGATTTTGTGAAAAATTGACCATACTTTACTCGTTAAAATCGCAATATTTCTTGACAATTTTTTTAACCTAAACATAGCTTTGTCAATGCAGTTAGCTCATTTAATGTCTTAATCAAAAGTTTATGTCTTTTTTAAATGGAATGGATTTACTTGTTGCGTTTATTGTAGTAAAAGATTTTACATGTAGCAGTAACCTATATATTATTATTTATGTTTAAAATGATAGGTATCTGAGCTCTTTTAAACCTCTCAAAAGACTATATTAATAGATATTCGGACTACGTGACCATGTTTTTTTTTATGTGTGTACAACACACATTAAAATTAGTCGAAATCCTTCAAAATGTTGAGAAGTGCAATTTATATATATATATATATATATATATATAGATCATTAAAAAAACAAACCAAACATTTTTACCCATTCATTTCCACGAAGATCCATAATTATAATTATTTGAATATTAAATATTTAAACTCAATCTAAATTATTAAGATTACACGTGTCAGAAAATCTATAAAAGTAAACAATTATTAGATAGTTAATTAAATTATCAGGAATTTTATAACCAATCACACTGTAATTACAGTATTAAGGTTAAAACTATAAAACATTTAAGCATGCTTAAAATAAATTAACTCGGTGGTCAATAGACAATTGCTTGGCAGTCTCAAATGTGTTTTAGGTGAATTTATTATTTTACAATTCGTACCTTATTATTAACAGAGTACACATAAGTTCCAGATATTACAATATACATTATAAAGAAAACGGTTAATCAATAGTATTTACATTTAATTATCATTAAATAATAATTCATTATATACAAATCACTTTTCGTTACACCTAAGTATATATTTAACTTTTAATCGTACATCCATTTATTTAGATAGAGGGGAAATGATGACCGTGTTGGCCTGTTCTTGTCATACAAATGCGATTAATACATACAATTATGTAATATGTTATTCTATAAAAAAATATATGTTATCCCCAAAAATTGTACAGATCACCAAACATGTTCCGTAAGTAAAAACAAATATCTCTATCAATATTATTTAAGCATAATTTTGCAATGGTATGATTTTCCTGGGGTCCAGGACTTTGCGACACAACGGACAAAATTTATTAGTTTGCAACCATTCGTGTATGCAATTCCAGCAGAACAAATGACCACAAACGGCCAGCGAAGTATGAGTTCTCATTTCCAAGCAAAGTGAACATTTGTTACTGTCTGACGTTGGTTCAGTTACTACATCGTCGTCTGTGGTTTCGGTATCATTACTTTTTGACAAAGAAACTAACATAAGTGTGCTGATATGAATAGCCGAGACTATGCTGAGTATTTTAAATACGTGCAAAGATTGTGAAGGACGATACCACGGAACAGCAAATATCTATGGGAAAATGTAAATATTACAATGTAATTTTATATATTTTATATGTCATTTTCATCATAATGAGATCGAAACTTACGTATCGGATGTTGAAAAAGCGTTTTGACCATGTGTAAAAAGAAGCGTTCCAATAGAACAACACTCGGTTAAAACTTTGAACGATCGGCAGTATGGATTTAACTATTTTCAAAGTGTGAATTATTTGATGTTTCGCAGTTTCGGTTATGGATTCATTGGCTTGTATATAATCGGCGATATAGTCTATGCAACGTAGTATGAGTTGATCTCCAATAATAAACATCGAAAGCATACCAATAGTTTGCTGCGAATAATTTAACAAGAATTACAGTTTTAGTATCGCAAAGATCGCAGTAACATTTAATGCTGATATTATATTCGATTACCATAAATCCTGGAATGTGTCTGCCGGTTTTTCCAACTTGTACAATCCTGGTGTATTCCTCTCCCAATGTCTGTAATCTAGACAGAGTGGTGAGCCCATAGTAAAGCATTTGTGACGCACATAATATGGTTTTCCTGTTTTTATTAATGAAAATATGACCTGCACATTTTAAAATAAACAATACAAATAAATATATATATATATATATATATTTGGAACACAAAACGAATCGTAATGTTTTGAGACTTACCTTTAAGTTTTAATAAAAATTCAGATAATTGTCTGTTGATTTTTTCACATTGTTCTTCATCTTTTTGTTCGGCTCTTAATATCTCTGCGGGTCCGCTGAAATTAAACGCTGGCATTGTGGTAAAAACGTTAGTTGTTTAGTCTGTGAGGTCAAACTAAGTGCTGTTAACTAAACACTAAAGGATTACAGATTTGAGTTGTTATAATGAAAAAAAAATATTCAAAAATCAAATTAATCAACTCTTTAAAATCGATAATTTAGCATCGTAAAACCGTTCATGAATAACTGAATTTTAGTTATTTTCACTACCGAATTCGTCGATTTAACAGAATATTTTTAAAATAGTATTATTGAGTAGCGGACTAGACTAAATTCAATCTATTCTGTGCTTATGCTTTCGTCTATCCCGTGTTCTTATCTCCCGGAGTCGTTATCAAACAGAATAGATAAAATCAGAAGAGTCACTTTAGATGTAAATAAAAAAAGTGACGACCATGTTGTAAAGATCTTTTCAGTGTTATGTGTTACATCTGTATCTCACCTTAACAAGATGGCCGCCGCGTTTTTGTGTGATAAGAATCTTTCCCATGTTAATTTTTATCAGTGTCCGGGGCCTGCCGATGGTATCACTACTAATCATTAATTTATGTTTACTAAACATTACTTATTATTTATTACGAACTTGGACGCCGTGTTGTTTGTATAGCTAGTATAGTAAAATAAACTACAATGTTTTCGACTAAATGTAAAAGTTTCAACGAAAACAAAGTCGACCTAAAAGAAAAGACCCTTGGCCAGCTCCAAGAGTTACTGGAACGACAGAGTAAAATCTTAAAAAACATGTAATGTACTTTTATATATTATTATTATTTTTTTTTTATTATTAAAGCCTCGACACCTCCTGAACTATAGTTATTTTTACAATATATTAGACAATATTACAGGATTGTTTAAATTAAAGTGTACAGCATTGCTTTTTTGAGGAATTGTAGGATGTTTCTTTCGGATTGTTTGTTGGTGTGTAGAGTTGCCTGTAGCTGTTCTGGCATGTTATATTCCGTTTGGTAGTTTTTGTATTTCCTACATTTGGTGAATATGTGTTTTACTGTCACTGCATTATTACACATCTCGCATAGCTGAACTTCTTTTTTTCTTCATAAGATGATTGTGGGTTAACCGTGTGTGTCCGATTCGGAGCCTTGTTAAGACCACCGATTCTTTACGGTTTAGTTGAGAGTTGTCTGTCCAATTGTTGGTGGTAAGTTTTATCTCTCTTAGTTTGTTAACTCTTATTCTGTGCCATTCATTTAGATTGTGTTTATTAATTGCTCTTTTAATTTGTTCATGGATGTCCTGCGTTGTAGTGATTTCCAATACCTCTAGATTAATATCTGTTGCATCTACAACTATAATGTTAGAACAATAATTATTTAACTAATTACAATGTTCTTCTCCTTCGCTATCATCCCAACTGTCATTTTCCATTTGGCATCCACCACCTTTTTTTTTTTGTTTCGGTCTTCTTCTTTCTTTCTACGTTTATTTTCATTACCATTCTTACTGCTCTCTTCTCATAATATCGCCAAACCGTTTCGGTCTATTTTCTCTCATTTTGTCTGTTATGGAACCATGTTTATGCTATATCCAACGTATTTGTTCTTTATCATATCGTCTCATCATTTCACCCATCTGCCTAAGCGTTCACATCTCTGCTACATTCGTTATTTATTCTATTTTCCTATATACCGCTTGACATTCCGATCCATATAACATAGTCGGTCTCACCATACTCTTGTAGAAATTGCCTCGTCCCATAAAACACCCAACGTTTTTCTCCGACTTACACTGAACAAACTGTGTAAACAAAATTGTGCATTTATTGAACAACAAAACCAAACTGTAACAGTATATTGT